CAACACAACAGCCAAAATATTACCAAACAATACGGTGGATAATACACTGCAGGATTACGAGATTACAATATTCTAGCTTCTTTTGCTAGAACGCAAGGAACATGTAAATCTTGTAACAGTATTTATGGCAGAACTAGGTATACATGACAAATAGAAAACTTTTGGAGTGGCTTCCAAGTATAGAAGATTCCTCTTATTTCAAGCTATGAAACTGGTTAAATGGTATTGCCCATTGTACTATACTATGCTGCAGACAGAAGAAAAACTCATATCAGATATCTTGTAACTTGTATCTTGTTGGCTGTATCCCTTCCATCTTTACTCATCACTACTTTACCCAATTGAATATCCAAGTGCAATCTGAATGGTGACATAATGAATGTCTTCTTCTCCCTCAACTGGTGTAGTTAGGTATGTAGAACTCAAAAAACAAATTCAATATTGTCACCTTGTCATATTGCTGGATTAGTTATATGATTCATTGTATTCTCCATACCATTTGTCCTTGAGATACCAGCGGATACAGTCAACTCTCGCTAACTCAAAGTTCAAGGGAAATTCGAGTTATCGAGATTTCTTAAATTCTATGCACTACAAAATTGTTCATACATGTATGCAGTATTACAGAACATGTAACACCAACTCATTTTAGCATAATCACTCAAAAAAGTCGGGCAAGAGTGTTTGGCGTTTTTTTGCAGCACCTTCACAATGACAATGTTTTCCAAATGCATGATTGTATCAAAGTCTTTTGTTCTAAACCAGAAGGGACCTCAACAAAGCTCCACAAAATTTCGATAACATGAGATTGTAGCCATGGTTGAGAGAGCAGTTCACAAACACTGACTAGTTGGCAGCAGGGTGCAGTACTTATAAGGTGCTGATGCAAAGACCTTGTGTCTCTTTGCAGACTTAACTTTCCCAACTGATCAAGGTGGGAACCAAAGGCACGAATCATCTCATTCTTGGGATAATCAGGTCTGCAGAAAGTGTAATTATATTGATGGGTCATTCCATACAAACTCTACCAATTTTAATATAAAGTTGCAGCTGACCTCAGAATTTGGGACAATAAAAAATTTCAAAACGATTGCAGTCAATCTAACAACCCTGCAAAAAAATCCCCTCCATCAGGTCTGTGATTAGTGAGATATTACCCCTGAACTTTGGGGGAAAACAGCAAAACCCATGGCCGGTTAAGTTTCCATCTCAGGAACGGTTCATCGCATGGAGGCGTGCAATTGCTTCAACCAGAGAACTTAACCCTTTCAGACCTGAATTAAGGCCACTGTCAGAATAATGTACTTTTTTGCATTTTTGAGCTCTTTTCCTATTCTACTTTAATTTTTTATGTTCTATATATTGTTTTCATATTTTGTACATATTTACCATATTATACGTATATAATATTTAATACGTACATTAACGTATTGACTTCTAATGTTTGACTGTCCACTCTCTTCTGGAGGCTATCTTAACTCGGTACGAATTAACGTAGGTAACATCACATTATATCCCGTGGTTCACGCAAGAATCCCAAGAAATTACCATAGAAACAGTGAAAATGCAAATGCCATTGGAGTGGATGTGGGGTCTGAAAGGGTTAATAGCTGAATAATTTTCTGCATACATACATCATTGGAGTTTGAATGAGATTTTAGCATCATAGTTGAGTTTGAAAATGTGAAATTTAGTTAATTTTGGCCCCTGAGCATCCCCATGTGATGAGGGAAAAGACAAATCTCTCATTATGGTAAGTTGCACTCCTTTCTTGGGTGCATCGGAAATGCAAAATCATTGTTTGACTTTTTGTCTGCTACATAGAGAGAAATTCACCTCAAAATGGAAATTTCATCAATTTTGGTCATATTTGGTAGAGTATTTTTCAATGTGGCAGAGCACTTACGGTATCAAGGATTGAGCCCTGAGAAAGCTGAACCAAAGATCTTTCCAATGATATACAATTTTATGTGCAAATCATATATCATTGAAATGTTTCATCAGAAGAAATATTTATTTCATTTATAAAAGGTTGCAGATTCTAAAAATTCACTTCTTCAAGACCACGGACTTATAAGAACACTCTATATAGTGATCTTTGTAAAAAGTCTCGAGGTATACTACGAAAAGAGAGTCGAGCAACCATACGACTAAAAGAAACGTAACGTAAAAAACGAGTGATTACGATAGGGATGTCAAGGTTGAGCGACATTTGGCTCTCATAATGGTGAATTCTCTTGCAAGTAACTGTGACTTACTCAAGACACCATATAGAGCTTTGAAAGACCTTTCCAGCAATATATCACAGGACCGTATTCAGCCACTTGAAGAAAAGGTGCATTTCTGGAATATGCAAGTTTTGACCCATGAAACATTGCTTTTATGAAAATGGCACAGCAATTTGCATATTGTTGGAAAAATCTTAAGTTTCCCTTTCTAGTGTCATCAGTCTTGATACCATAAGTGCTCTGGCACATTGAAAAATACTTGACTGAAGATGACAAAAAATGAGAAAATTCAAGCATTATTGAACGAAATAGTTACATGGACCCTCTCCTCATTTCGTATGTCATTACTCTCTAAACGGAAAAGGGAACGGTGTTTCCCCACAAAGACCCCCCTTTTATCGGATTTAAAGTGTAAAAGTTTGATGACAACTTGACTTGTTGAAATCTTATTCAAACTCCAATGATGTATGGAGCAAATTGTTAAGCTATTAAAGACCTTCAGTTAAAGCTATTGGATGCCCCCATATGATGAAAGGTTCCTGAGATAGAAATTTAGCTATCTGTGGGATTTTTCCATTATCCTCCAAAGTTCAAGGGTAACATCTGGCTAACTGTAGATCTGATTAAGTCTTTTTTTTTTTTCCTGGGATGTTAGATTGACTGCAGTTGCTTGGAGTTTAGAATCCTAAATCCAAGATGGTCAAGCACACTGCCTAGTGCAGTTAGTATGGAATAACCCTGATATGAAGTTTATCTGTGGACATGAAAAATATATAAAATACAGCAATTAATTTAGAGTTATCGACAAATTTGTCTTAGTGCAGTCAGAGTTATTGAGGGGGAAAATGTATTGTCCTTATGAGAATGTCAAAGGGAAAAAGTAACTTTGAGTTAGAGGGAAATTTGAGTTAAAGAGGTTCAAGTTATTGAGAGTTGACTGTACTAGCAGTTGGCAATAACATCATTTCACTGTTACCGTGCATTTTTCATTGGCTATATACTCACCCAATGCTGTAAAATTCAGTAAAGAAAATTGTGTACCCAGGACCTATGTATACCAATTGTATGATTTAATTATTTATACCAATTGAGGGTTAAGGAGCTTAAGTCCCTATTGTGCCTAGTTCCTATTGTAAGATTTCTATCTATAGAGTACTACACTGACTAGTAGATGATGTAAAGCTATTTAAATAAATTTTGTTGTACTTTGCAATTGAAGGATGACATCGGTACAAGTGGTGTGATAGGATCAGCCTTGTTCAACATTCTACTTGTGATCAGCATATGTGGGTTTGCTGTCCGGGAAAGTGTCTTTCTCCATCCATTCCCACTGCTGAGGGATTCAATCTTCTACCTATTGAGTGTGGCAGCTCTATTTGCCATTCTCTATGATGACCGTGTCTTCTGGCAAGTGCTTCTCTTGTGTTCTATGAGAGTAGGAGTCATTCTACCAACTGGAAAGTACCTGAATCAGGAAGAGGTATAGGTTTTCTGTGTACTGTCAACCTTTGTTTACCCTCTTCTTTAAGGATTGCAAACAGAATGGCAAATTTTAATTTCTTCTTAGGATTCTGTAACCCTGAAAAATTCNGGACATGAAAAATATATAAAATACAGCAATTAATTTAGAGTTATCGACAAATTTGTCTTAGTGCAGTCAGAGTTATTGAGGGGGAAAATGTATTGTCCTTATGAGAATGTCAAAGGGAAAAAGTAACTTTGAGTTAGAGGGAAATTTGAGTTAAAGAGGTTCAAGTTATTGAGAGTTGACTGTACTAGCAGTTGGCAATAACATCATTTCACTGTTACCGTGCATTTTTCATTGGCTATATACTCACCCAATGCTGTAAAATTCAGTAAAGAAAATTGAGTACCCAGGACCTATGTATACCAATTGTATGATTTAATTATTTATACCAATTGAGGGTTAAGGAGCTTAAGTCCCTATTGTGCCTAGTTCCTATTGTAAGATTTCTATCTATAGAGTACTACACTGACTAGTAGATGATGTAAAGCTATTTAAATAAATTTTGTTGTACTTTGCAATTGAAGGATGACATTGGTACAAGTGGTGTGATAGGATCAGCCTTGTTCAACATTCTACTTGTGATCAGCATATGTGGGTTTGCTGTCCGGGAAAGTGTCTTTCTCCATCCATTCCCACTGCTGAGGGATTCAATCTTCTACCTATTGAGTGTGGCAGCTCTATTTGCCATTCTCTATGATGACCGTGTCTTCTGGCAAGTGCTTCTCTTGTGTTCTATGAGAGTAGGAGTCATTCTACCAACTGGAAAGTACCTGAATCAGGAAGAGGTATAGGTTTTCTGTGTACTGTCAACCTTTGTTTACCCTCTTCTTTAAGGATTGCAAACAGAATGGCAAATTTTAATTTCTTCTTAGGATTCTGTAACCCTGAAAAATTCAGTGAATTTTATTTTCAATCATGAGACGACAAAGGTGTTACAGTCCTTCTACCAAAAACGACTCTTTGACTCAAGAACTGTTCGATTTTTTACCTACTTTACCGGTACTAAACTGACTGATTACTCCACTGGAACTTTGATGACTCCCAAAGAAAACATTTAGTAAGCATGTCTGTGTGCAAACCCCAAATGCTTGCTCCACTCCTAATTGACCTTACCCTACCACTGTGAGTGTCCCTTTGCCTTTCCCCTCCTTTTCCTTCGTAGGGATATTTGGGGGTCCTTGCCTAAGTTTCTCATTTTCAAAGTAAACTATGAAGCTGAAATCTCATTATCCACTGATGTATGGAACTAATATATTAAAGAGCTCTAGTTAAAGCTTTTGCATGCTTCTGTACAATACAGGTATGTGGTTCCTGAGATTATATGTGATTATATATGATATGTGATTGCTGTCCATGTGGTTTTTCCATTTTCCTCCAAAGTTCAGGGGTGATATCTCATTAACCACGGATCCCACAGAGGTTATTATTTTTTTATGGGGTTGATGGATTGATTGCAATTGCTGAAAATTTTTATTGCAAAATCCAAGATGGTCAGGCATCATTTTATAATTACCCTAGAACTGCCAACTGTCTATAAAATCAATGGTTGGGAGTTCATTTGGAATGACCCCCATGCATTGATTCCAAAGGTGAGACTAGATATGCCACCATGCTGTCACAATAAGGAGGAGTAACTCTTAACCTTTCACTGAATGCGTCGACTTTCTGTAAAGGGGAAAGATGTATAAGTTCCCGTTCAGTTTACTTTTGTCGTTGAAAATATACCCGTTGTCTGGACCTCCCTTATTTTGAACTAAAGGTAGGAGAATTCTGTAATAAAGGACAGGAAGTGGAAGGGTAATCATCCATGAAATCATCACATAATGATATGAAAGGGATTTCTGTTTTTCACAGACAATTGTAGATTTTCTAGAATTTCTAAGATGGTCCTAGATGTTTTTTTCCCAGGGTACATTGTACAATCTGTGTGAATGACTTTGCAACTTCTATTTTCTTCTATTTTCAGATGCAAGATGCAACAGTAAGCAATTAAATAACTAGAATTTCTAAGATGGTCCTAGATGTTTTTTTTCCCAGGGTACATTGTACAATCTGTGTGAATGACTTTGCAACTTCTATTTTCTTCTATTTTCAGATGCAAGATGCAACAGTAAGCAATTAAATATGTTGAAAGAATGAGCAAATCATTTTTGTGGTAAGCAGTGAGCATTTCTGGTACTACTGTATGCAGAACATGGGTGTAAAAATTCTGGTAATTATGTGGCATTTGTAAATTGTTCTGAATACCTATGGGGAAGTTTGTTCACAAAACACTTTTAATCATGGCTTTGTAGCTCTAATTGTATATGAGGTGGCATGATATTGATGTTACAGGTATGAGGCACTCTGCTTGCTGCTATTGTACATCCTGTACATAGTGTTCATGTACCACAACCATGCAATTCATGCAATTTTTCTTCGTTGTAAACCTGAGGAAGAAGAGGCCCTTGTGAAGAAGGAACCTTCAGAGAATGAAGTATTTCACAGTGAGCCTCTTATTTGAATTTTGATATTTTCTTTGCGCATTTTTATAGGCAACTCTCTCCCTGTGTCAAGTTAAGAACATTCAGGACTTTAATGAAAATACATTTCCTTTTATTAGGGCTGTATTGATGGTGGTGTTAGGTTGGTAGGTCTTTGGCCATTAATGATCTTGCACACATCAGCCAGTGCTGATGCCAATTGTGACAAATACAGGATGGGCCAAAAAAGTATTCAGTCATCTTTAACGCTTCACAGTGTAGTTTCTCAAGAGTTTGGCAATATTGGAATAGCGTTTTTATATAAAAACATTTATCTAGCTTCCCACTGATGTCAAAAGATTTCAGATCCAATTTGTCACATGGTTCGTAATTGCATCAGAATAATGGGTTGCACCTGAAAAGTGCACNCTAGAATTTCTAAGATGGTCCTAGATGTTTTTTTCCCAGGGTACATTGTACAATCTGTGTGAATGACTTTGCAACTTCTATTTTCTTCTATTTTCAGATGCAAGATGCAACAGTAAGCAATTAAATACAGTGGTACCTCGCATAACGAACACAATTTGTTCCAGCGGTGCGTTCGTTATGCGAGGTGTTCGCGAGTGAAAGTGAAACATTTTTTTCCTAATTTCCTTGATTTTTCGCGGCGATGTGGAACAGATTACATGATTTCCCATAGAAGTCTATGGGAAATCGTGTTTCGCATAAAGAAACACCTCACATAACGAACGCACTGCTGGAACGAATTGCGTTCGTTATGCAAGGTACCACTGTATATTGAAAGAATGAGCAAATCATTTTTGTGGTAAGCAGTGAGCATTTCTGGTGCTACTGTATGCAGAACATGGGTGTAAAAATTCTGGTAATTATGTTGCATTTGTAAATAGTTCTGAATACCTATGGGGAAGTTTGTTCACAAAACACTTTTAATCATGGCTTTGTAGCTCTAAGACTATGACATACTCCACCGTACTATAACTACAATGTCCATACTCCGTGAGACGAACGACGATAACATGTAGGACATGTATCACAAGTACATGGTGTTGGTACGTTAAGTACGTTAAAAAGAAGCAACATTTGGACAGGAAGAAGAGGCCCTTGTGAAGAAGGAACCTTCAGAGAATGAAGTATTTCACAGTGAGCCTCTTATTTGAATTTTGATATTTTCTTTGCGCATTTTTATAGGCAACTCTCTCCCTGTGTCAAGTTAAGAACATTCAGGACTTTAATGAAAATACATTTCCTTTTATTAGGGCTGTATTGATGGTGGTGTTAGGTTGGTAGGTCTTTGGCCATTAATGATCTTGCACACATCAGCCAGTGCTGATGCCAATTGTGACAAATACAGGATGGGCCAAAAAAGTATTCAGTCATCTTTAACGCTTCACAGTGTAGTTTCTCAAGAGTTTGGCAATATTGGAATAGCGTTTTTATATAAAAACATTTATCTAGCTTCCCACTGATGTCAAAAGATTTCAGATCCAATTTGTCACATGGTTCGTAATTGCATCAGAATAATGGGTTGCACCTGAAAAGTGCACTTACCAGTGCCCTATGAGATGTGCTCCTGGTGACATCCATTCCTTCACTTATGGCAAGTAGGCGAAGTCTTGCATGCACTGACATTGCAGTATGGCACCAACTTTTCCAGTGCCTCCTCTTATGCTCTTTATCTAAATAAATGATTGTTATGTCCCAAATCTCTGTTGAAATCATTTGAAAGCTAAATGAATGTTCTATATGTAGGCACTATTGCAATTTTATCAAATTCTTTTGGACCAGTGCTATGAAGTGATAAAGATAACCAAAGGTTTTTTTGGCCCACCCTGTAGATGGAGAGGAGAGTCTTGAAGTCAGCTGATTGTTGATGTTGCCAATGATGCTTTATTGGCAAGCAATGCTGGTAGTTACCAATGTATCAGTCCAGGCCTACTTTTTAATTCCTTTGGGCCTATGTGAAGCTTATTCACATTTTCTAAGCAGGTCTAAAAGAAAATCAGTGTCACCATATATACATTTTTTAAGACATGATACCAAGCCTGACTATTTTCCAACAGTTGGAATTGTTCAGGCCAATTTAAGTTATTTGAACTTTCATGTGGGTATTAAGACAATCTTGAGTAATTCACAGCATTATATCTTGATGAAAGATCAAGTTATTCAAGATATCAAATAATCCAACTGACTTGAAAAGTACCCTGTATTCTAACTTTTCCCTATTGCATAAACCTGACACTGTAGGAATACAGAACCACTGAAACTATTGTCAATTCCATAAAAAAAATACTACTTTGTTTTACATTCATGATTGCAAACAGCACAGAGTTAGAGATTCTGCAAACCATGTTGCGTGATATAAGTTGGAAATGTTGAATTGCAGAGCTCACTTATCTTGCAAAATCATCTCATGGATATCCTTGCCCTATTGTGAATCTGGAAATTTATAGTCATCCCTTTCCTCATGGTATATGGGACAAGTACCAAATAGAATTATTTGTGGGAATTTTTTTTTTTTACTAAATTCCCAGGATGTTTCATAAATTAGTTATTAATAATGAAAAAAGCCAATGCAGGGTTCACATTAACTCGCTATAACGAGTCCCTGACTCATTTTTTATTGGAGGGACTCTTATTTGCAGAACATCTTAGTCCATGAGACTCATCGACAACCACCTGAACATGTTCCCACAGAGCTGAAGCTAGGCACCAGGACTGAAGATTTTAAAAAGTTAGTGCAAACCCTGCAATGTCACTGCACTATGAAATGTACATCAATTTGTCATATGTTACATGACTGGTCAATATTTTTGGTGCACATGAATGATTGAAATCATGATCTGCAAACTCAACACTCTAATTTTAAAAATTAATTTTCTCTCATTTACTGTAAATCATATGCACAATGATGAGCAAATATGGTTGTAAACTCAGAGGTTGGGTAGTATTTTATGAAAGTAGAGTTTCATGCCATTTTCTTTGGATAATATGTACAGGGTGGCCCAAAAAGAAACAAAGCTGTCATTTTTGGTGAGTCATCAATATCTTTGTAGGCTGCAGATTTTTATTACAATTGGTAGATTTAAAGGGTGATATAATTGGAGTTTGTATACCAAATTTCAGCTTTTTGGCTCTAAAATGATAAGAGCTGTAATTATTTTCTGATGACCAATGATAAAATATGCTGTTGAAAATATTGATATGAACTTGAGGCTTGGATGAAAGGGAGGTCCGAATTCATGAACTTCAATCCCTGCATGATGCTACAAAGGAAGATAGGGAGGCACTGCCTCAAAGGTTTATTGACTGAGCCATGGATCTGTGGTGTCCCAGACTAGAGGCTAGTGTGCAACAGAATGGAGGGCACATTGAGCACCTTTTCAGTTGAAATGAAAGTCCCTTAACAAAATTGTGGGCTTTTGTGTTTGACATTTGTGCACTTGTTTTTCTTCTACTTGTTTGCTTTTGTCAGTTGTCAAAGATTTTAATCTGAAAGAAAAAATTAATACTTACTTTTTTGGTGATGAAATGCAAATTAAATACCAGTCTCACAGTTTTTGGAATTTTTATTTGAAACTTGGCACACAAACCCTAATTGAGCCACCCTATGTTTCTACCAAATTTAATCAAAATTGACAACCTATAATCAGATTGACAACTTACCATAAATGCTTTGTTTTTTTGGTCCACCCTGTATATCCTCAGTGATGAGTTTGCTCATGATTGACATTTTACTGCTTTTTCTCAAACAAGAATACTTGCATCTTGACCATGACCATTAAGCATGACAGACCATTTTAGCTATGAAAAGTGAAAACTTGACCACATCATTGAGCAATAATGTTGTTTTCTCTTTGAAGCTGAGCATGAGACAACGAAAGCTGAAGTTGACAGAGATTTGGAGGGTAAACCCACAATATGTACTAAAGTCTTCACAGCTATTTGTTGGCCATGGAGAACAATGTTCTACTTGACCATTCCTGACTGTCGCAAGGAAAATTGGTCCAGATGGTATCTGGTCACCTTCCTTATGAGTGTGGCTTGGATTGCCATCCTTTCTTACATCGTTGTTTGGCTCATTACCATCATAGGTATGTTTGAGTTCCTGTCATCCTTGTCATGGGTGTAGCAGTATTCTTTTCATCTATAAGTATTGTATTACTTTTTTTTTCTTAAAAGGTGTTCTAGTTTCATTTGTAGCATAGATTGAGGCCTTTTTGGACTAAGGCCACATTGGAGGTAGAATATTTTTTTTATATGCTGTTACTCATGAACAACAAGCAAGTTTGCTATATTAGTAGAATAACTACTGCCCATATTAATTCCAATTATTTTTTTAATTTGTTGCCCCCTGATCAGGGCCAGATTAAGAAGTTGCAGGGCTCAGGACAAGTGGATTCTTGGGGCTCTCTCCCCCCCCCCCCTTCCCGTACTTAATCCGGCCCTGTCCCTGTTATATAATTAATTTTCAAACTAATATTTATAAGTCTGGAGAAATCTTGTGAAAATGCAATGTTACATTTAATATTGTGGAATGTTAAGGTATGAGACATGTTGCACATGAGAGCTTTTAGCCCTTCCACCTCCGTTCTGAAACGTTAAACTGTTCTAACTTAAAGCTGTACATTACTGTAAAATCTGCTGTAGCGATCTCGGGTACAACGAATTTCTCCTTATAACAAAACTATATTTTATCCCCGTCCTAATGCCCAAAACTCAATCCCCGTAGAAACAATGTTAAAATCCCGCGTATGACGAACTCCGCTACAACGAAAAACTCATTATTGCTAGAAAACTTTGGGGATCAATGTTTCCTCTTCCCCCTCCCCCCACCTACAGCGAAATTTATAATATTATCTTGTTTTAAACACTACCCTAGAGATGTATACTAGCTCCCGCCCTTTGGTGCACCGTTCGTCTCCTATTTCCGCGCGATACGTTTCCCTTGATAACGCTTCGTATCTCCATGTCAGCCCCACAGTACATAAGGGCGGATCTCTTTCCCGGGTTCCACTCTGCTCACGCGCAAGCGCGCGCACTTCCACTCTCCGACCAGTCTCTCCCGCCTCTCCTCTTCTGTTTTTCCAAGTCCTGGTCTATGTTGGTCCTGCTCAAGTTTTTCCTCACGCCTGTCTTTTTTTGTGACTGCTGTACCTACGTGAAATGACATGCGCCGAGCCTGGGGGAAGAGGATAGAGGAAGGCTAAGGTTGATTGTGTTAGACATCACATTTTCTTCAACCTGTCCTTAGAAGACGTAGCTTCACCAGCCCCGAGCTGAGGTGAATTACAGGCAGTGGTAGGAATTAAGTGTACGTTAGCACAAAGGGATTGTAGTGGATGCATTCAGTTGTTTAGCACGGGTCATAACTAGAAGGACATGGCGTATGACCTATGCAATTGATTCATTAATTCAGAGGTTGTGCTTCCAAGTACATGCCTATGTAGTTGTTGCCTTTTCAGGTTAGCTATTAATAATAGCTAATAGAATAGGCTAAGCTCATAGCTGTGTTTTCGGTATGTCCATCTCCACAGTTCACCCTGTGAGATGGGTCAGTATACAGTGATACACATACATTTGAAATGAAATCGTACCAAAGGTTTTATGGGGTCTAACTGGAATTTAGCAAATTTAAAATGGATCATGAATATCTTCCTTTATTGCAGGATTTACCTTTGGGATTCCAGATACGGTTTTGGGACTGACTTTATTGGCAGTTGGTGTCAGTTTGCCAGATGCTTTCTCAAGTTTAGCAGTTGTGAAGGAAGGTGAGTAACAGACTCAAGGTCACAATTGGTAATCTGTCCTAGACAACCTTTGATGTGTGCCATTATGCAGGTTTTGGCGATATGGCAGTATCAAATGCCATTGGTTCGAACACATTTGACATTCTTCTATGCCTTGGCCTCCCATGGTTCATTCAGACCACAATGATGCAATACGGCTCTTCGATACGAGTTTCGGGTGATGGTAAGTGTAAAGCCTACCTTTTGGGCTTTGCTATTTTTGTTAGCTCCTTTCAAGTTGGAAGATAATAAATTTGAATATTCCTAATGCTTTTTTTTTTNATTATTGCTAGAAAACTTTGGGGATCAATGTTTCCTCTTCCCCCTCCCCCCACCTACAGCGAAATTTATTTATAATAGAACAAAATTTGTGATGGGATCTCTACATATGATCGAGGGCGGGAAACCACGTGGCAAGCAGAGGATAAAGGCGCGCTATGCAAAGGGAACTATTGCGAAGCATAGAGGTACAGTCGGGTACAGTACATAAGGGCGGATCTCTTTCCCGGGTTCCACTCTGCTCACGCGCAAGCGCGCGCACTTCCACTCTCCGACCAGTCTCTCCCGCCTCTCCTCTTCTGTTTTTCCAAGCCCTGGTCTATGTTGGTCCTGCTCAAGTTTTTCCTCACGCCTGTCTTTTTTTGTGACTGCTGTACCTACGTGAACATGACATGCGCCGAGCCTGGCGGGAGAGGATAGAGGAAGGCTAAGGTTGATTGTGTTAGACATCACATTTTCTTCAACCTGTCCTTAGAAGACGTAGCTTCACCAGCTCCGAGCTGAGGTGAATTACAGGCAGTGGTAGGAATTAAGTGTACGTTAGCACAAAGGGATTGTAGTGGATGCATTCAGTTGTTTAGCACGGGTCATAACTAGAAGGACATGGCGTATGACCTATGCAATTGATTCATTAATTCAGAGGTTGTGCTTCCAAGTACATGCCTATGTAGTTGTTGCCTTTTCAGGTTAGCTATTAATAATAGCTAATAGAATAGGCTAAGCTCATAGCTGTGTTTTCGGTATATCCATCTCCACAGTTCACCCTGTGAGATGGGTCAGTATACAGTGATACACATACATTTGAAATGAAATCGTACCAAAGTTTTTATGGGGTCTAACTGGAATTTAGCAAATTTAAAATGGATCATGAATATCTTCCTTTATTGCAGGATTTACCTTTGGGATTCCAGATACGGTTTTGGGACTGACTTTATTGGCAGTTGGTGTCAGTTTGCCAGATGCTTTCTCAAGTTTAGCAGTTGTGAAGGAAGGTGAGTAACAGACTCAAGGTCACAATTGGTAATCTGTCCTAGACAACCTTTGATGTGTACCATTATGCAGGTTTTGGCGATATGGCAGTATCAAATGCCATTGGTTCGAACACATTTGACATTCTTCTATGTCTTGGCCTCCCATGGTTCATTCAGACCACAATGATGCAATACGGCTCTTCGATACGAGTTTCGGGTGATGGTAAGTGTAAAGCCTACCTTTTGGGCTTTGCTATTTTTGTTAGCTCCTTTCAAGTTGGAAGATAATAAATTTGAATATTCCTAATGCTTTTTTTTTTTCATTCCAGTATTTGATATTGGATGCATGGGCATAGTGGCAATGAAAATTGGTAGCTGTGGCACAGAGTTTGCTAGAGGAGTAGTACAGGGTGTCTTGGATGCAGCAATAGGTGAATTACAGGAATAGAACTGTAGTAATTGAATTCAATTGCATATTGCTTCACAATAGCAGTTTCCATTTTATAAATAATGGTTGCTGATGGATTTATCATTGGGTAAGTGAGAAAGCTGATCTCCTGCGAGGAGGATAGGGGGATTTATTGGAAGGAAGAGTTTCTTTGGGCTTGGGGGCTATTTGGAGGATGGTGGTGCAATGATAAGTCATGGGAGAAAAGTGGATAGGTGAGGGTATAGAATGGTTATTGATATGCTATAAAGCTGGGCTGAATTGAGCCAATATAGATAGGTCTCTACAAGGCAAAAATTATGCATTTGTGTCATGACAATTACAGGCCTCTTTCAAGTCATATATAGCCCAAGACTCAGTACTTGCTAAGGTACACACAAGCTCTTACATGAAATGTTTCCAGCTGTTGTCATGGAGGACACAGCAACTATATGAAAAGTTTAATATCCCTCCTCATACCTCAATTCCCTATTCAGCACGAGACTTTTGAGCCCATTCTTTCAATAGCTTATACTCTTCACATTGTTTTTTACACACTTCAGATGTTCCTTACTTGAGCTGAAAGCATCATTTCCTTGATTGTGATTACTTCACTCAGTATCTCTTATCTGAATGTCTTTCCTCCCCAAAATGAATGACAGTACATAATAATCATAAGTGTACAGCTTTCTTTATGCAATATGTTTATATCTTTCACAGGACTGGGGTATACAAGCCTCCTTCTCTTCCTGACAGTGATATTCACAGTGCTTGCCATTCTGATCAACAAATGGAGACTAGATAAGAAACTAGCTGTTGCTTTACTTATATGGTATATCATCTTTCTTATTTTTGGTATTTTGATAGAGCTGAATTTCTTTGGAGTCAAAAATTTACCTCAGTGTGAAATTGATTGGTGATTTAAGTTCCTAATCCTTGCCAATTTGACTGTTTTGTCTGCTGCTCTCATGATTTGAATCATGTGTTGCTTCAATTTCATTGTAACTCCATTGATAGAGACAAGTCATAAAATTGAGGATGATGTGCATGCCATATTCCATTCTTTCTACCTTCTCTTCTGGCTATGAGATTGGGTTTCATGCTTTTTAGTTTGCTTTACACATTTCTGGAAATTACATGAGTTTTTTCTATTTGGTGATGCAAGTTAGACTACTGTAGTTGTGCACTCAACCATCCATTTCATTCATTCCATGCACAATATATTTATGTCTCTCACTTTTGATACCATTGGAAGCTACATCCATCCTCTGGAAGCATTAATTTTAATTGTACATGGGGCCTGCATCTCTTTTTTTTTTTTTAAAGATATATCATAATATGGAGAAGAGCATTCTAATATATCATTGTTTATGAGAAGAAGCTATGCACAAACAGACTCTTATGTGAAGTAATGATTTAGTTTCCTTGTGAATCAAGCAATTGTAGCATGAAGTCTGCAATGAATGATTTTCTTTAAAAGAACCAATCTGAAAATTTTGATTCTAATATTCAAAATCTACCTGTTGAGTGTCTGTTCAGGGTGTCCCATAAGGCACTATACCATTTCAAACTGCAATATTTTCCAAACTACAAGATGCTTAGTATTGATAGAAAGAACGATCTTTATAATTATTTTCATGATAATGACTTTGAAGCAGACTCAAACAGAAATAGTTTCAAATGCCTATTAGAAAGGCATACTTTTTTAAGGACATTTTTTGCTCANTGCAATTGATTCATTAATTCAGAGGTTGTGCTTCCAAGTACATGCCTATGTAGTTGTTGCCTTTTCAGGTTAGCTATTAATAATAGCTAATAGAATAGGCTAAGCTCATAGCTGTGTTTTCGGTATATCCATCTCCACAGTTCACCCTGTGAGATGGGTCAGTATACAGTGATACACATACATTTGAAATGAAATCGTACCAAAGGTTTTATGGGGTCTAACTGGAATTTAGCAAATTTAAAATGGATCATGAATATCTTCCTTTATTGCAGGATTTACCTTTGGGATTCCAGATACGGTTTTGGGACTGACTTTATTGGCAGTTGGTGTCAGTTTGCCAGATGCTTTCTCAAGTTTAGCAGTTGTGAAGGAAGGTGAGTAACAGACTCAAGGTCACAATTGGTAATCTGTCCTAGACAACCTTTGATGTGTGCCATTATGCAGGTTTTGGCGATATGGCAGTATCAAATGCCATTGGTTCGAACACATTTGACATTCTTCTATGCCTTGGCCTCCCATGGTTCATTCAGACCACAATGATGCAATACGGCTCTTCGATACGAGTTTCGGGTGATGGTAAGTGTAAAACCTACCTTTTGGGCTTTGCTATTCTTGTTAGCTCCTTTCAAGTTAGGAGATAATAAATTTGAATATTCCTAATGCTTTTTTTTTTTCATTCCAGTATTTGATATTGGATGCATGGGCATAGTGGCAATGAAAATTGGTAGCTGTGGCACAGAGTTTACTAGAGGAGTAGTACAGGGTGTCTTGGATGCAGCGATAGGTGAATTACAGGAATAGAATTGTAGTAATTGAATTCAATTGCATATTGCTTCACAATAGCAGTTTCCATTTTATAAATAATGGTTGCTGATGAATTTATCATTGGGTAAGTGAGAAAGCTGATCTCCTGCGAGGAGGATAGGGGGATTTATTGGAAGGAAGAGTTTCTTTGGGCTTGGGGGCTATTTGTAGGATGGTGGGGTGAGAATGTGAAGGAGAATGGTGGTGCGATGATAAGTCATGGGAGAAAAGTGGATAGGTGAGGGTATAGAATGGTTGTTGATATGCTATAAAGCTGGGCTGAATTGAGCCAATATAGATAGGTCTCTACAAGGCAAAAATTATGCATTTGTGTCATGACAATTACAGGCCTCTTTCAAGTCATATATAGCCCAAGACTCAGTACTTGCTAAGGTANTTGATATGCTATAAAGCTGGGCTGAATTGAGCCAATATAGATAGGTCTCTACAAGGCAAAAATTATGCATTTGTGTCATGACAATTACAGGCCTCTTTCAAGTCATATATAGCCCAAGACTCAGTACTTGCTAAGGTACACACAAGCTCTTACATGAAATGTTTCCAGCTGTTGTCATGGAGGACACAGCAACTATATGAAAAGTTTAATATCCCTCCTCATACCTCAATTCCCTATTCAGCACGAGACTTTTGAGCCCATTCTTTCAATAGCTTATACTCTTCACATTGTTTTTTACACACGTCAGATGTTCCTTNGCTGTTGTCATGGAGGACACAGCAACTATATGAAAAGTTTAATATCCCTCCTCATACCTCAATTCCCTATTCAGCACGAGACTTTTGAGCCCATTCTTTCAATAGCTTATACTCTTCACATTGTTTTCTACACACGTCAGATGTTCCTTACTTGAGCTGAAAGCATCATTTCCTAGATTGTGATTACTTCACTCAGTATCTCTTATCTGAATGTCTTTCCTCCCCAAAATGAATGACAGTACATAATAATCATAAGTGTACAGCTTTCTTTATGCAATATGTTTATATATCTTTCACAGGACTGGGGTATACAAGCCTCCTTCTCTTCCTGACAGTGATATTCACAGTGCTTGCCATTCTGATCAACAAATGGAGACTAGATAAGAAACTAGCTAAACGAAATGAATATACCATATAGTAGAAAGAATAAAAACCATAAAACTATCTCGACTTAAAGAAACCTCAGTTTTTAAATGGAGTCACACTTTAACTAACCACTAAATTCAAGGATTAGGAACGGTTTTTGACTGTTTTGTCTGCTGCTCTCATGATTTGAATCATGTGTTGCTTCAATTTCATTGTAACTCCATTGATAGAGACAAGTCATAAAATTGAGGATGATGTGCATGCCATATTCCATTCTTTCTACCTTCTCTTCTGGCTATGAGATTGGGTTTCATGCTTTTTAGTTTGCTTTACACATTTCTGGAAATTACATGAGTTTTTTCTATTTGGTGATGCAAGTTAGACTACTGTAGTTGTGCACTCAACCATCCATTTCATTCATTCCATGCACAATATATTTATGTCTCTCACTTTTGATACCATTGGAAGCTACATCCATCCTCTGGAAGCATTAATTTTAATTGTACATGGGGCCTGCATCTCTTTTTTTTTTTTTAAAGATATATCATAATATGGAGAAGAGCATTCTAATATATCATTGTTTATGAGAAGAAGCTATGCACAAACAGACTCTTATGTGAAGTAATGATTTAGTTTCCTTGTGAATCAAGCAATTGTAGCATGAAGTCTGCAATGAATGATTTTCTTTAAAAGAACCAATCTGAAAAATTTGATTCTAATATTCAAAATCTACCTGTTGAGTGTCTGTTCAGGGTGTCCCATAAGGCACTATACCATTTCAAACTGCAATATTTTCCAAACTACAAGATGCAATCATAACTATCTTTCTTGCTAGAAATATTAATAAAAGTACTATTACTGAAACTTCGTCTGAGTTTGTCTTTATCAAAGTTTACGGATAATCTTTCCGTATGAAAAAATTCCTGTAAAAAACGAGTTGAATCCTTTTTGATTAAATTGCAAAACTTTGTTTTTCTCTCCTAAATTGTGATAGACTCGAGAAACATAAAATATTATTTCGTGAAATTTGATTTTGCTGTCAGGTGATGTCATTGTTAATTTATTCAAAATTGACACTGGAGCAATGAAGAAAATCTGCAACCTGTATGGATGTCTTTAAGAGTCCCCATCAGAGTTCAAAGGGAGTTTCAGCAATATTTTGGTGTTGAGCCTCATGTCAAATGCATCGATTTAGGTGGAGGACATTTGAGGCACTTGCAAAACTCAGAAAGAACTCCATTTTGACAAAAGATAATTCAAAATGACATACCATCCTTTAGTTAATATTATTTCTTTTTCACATCAACTGTTTGGTTAATGTGATTCTTTGCAATGGTATAGTGACTTATGGGACACCCTGTATGAGAGCATTATATTAAGTATCCCAGTGGCAGTCCTTCCATACTCACCAAGTAGCTTGTTTTCTGCTCTCTGGTTAATCACCATCTTCAAAGGGTCCCATACTGTGGAGGTTTTCTCCAGGGTTTCCAGAGAAGTGGTATTGAGATAGGGTTCGTGCAATTAATGTTTGTGTTTGCCTCCAATTCCTGTGCATTTTTATGGCCACCAATTGAACTATTCTTCTAGTTTGTTTGCATGGTTTGTGCTTGTCAGCAGATGAGTGAATGGATTGTTTATTTCTGAATTCACTCCAAATTTCTTTCTGCCAAAGTATTCTTATCTTCTGTAGTGTCAATTTTGTTTCATTAGTACTGATTTATTAACATGCACAATCTCTATCTTCATCAGCTTTTCTATTTTCTTAATGTCCATGAACTGCATCACCTAATAGCAATGCAGTGTGGTTCAATGTGGTGTTTTGTTGGTCACACTTTGGATTTGAACAATTTGCATGCTGTGTTTAATGATCCATCTGTCAAGCTTAGCAGTTTTCTTTTGCAATCTTGGAAGATAGTCTGAAGAAGAGCCATTCCTCAGGCTCATGTAAAGCAAGACGAGAAAATGCATGACCATAGATTTCATACCTGATGGGACCATTCTCAGATATAGGAATATGCATCCTGGTGTTCAGCCCCTGTGTTGTGCAGAGTGGAAGAGGCTCTGGTTGATCATTGTGACTGTGATTCACCCTGTGAGGTGTTTGATGGGATCAGCAGTTGAATTACTATCATGTATTTGATTAAAATTTAATGGTGCTGAACTGTGATCTTGGGTAAGTATTGCCAAGCAGGGCTAAATGTTAAAAAAAGTATTTGTACCCACTTTCAATGCAAGAAGGATTCGCTATCGTTAAGACAGGGCTAAATTATGAAAAATATAGACTGGTGAATGTGTCTTCAGAAAAATTGGGCACAGTTTGCCAATATTTCAGCCTTATCATTCTATATCAAGATGCCAAGATGTGTCAATGTAGGTACAGTTACTCATCTATGTATTGATCACTTAAGTTTTTCCTGTCTAACCAGGTTGAGTTCCTTTTTATCAAAACCCAGGTAAGGGAAACTCTTACTGTCTACTTATTCAAACAAA